AATCAAAGCTTTATTGGCATTTACAGTAGGCTATTATTTACAAAAGTATTCAGAACTTTAAGTAAAGCGATCGAAATGAAGGGAAAATATGAATACAAACGAATATAAAAATATAACCAATAATAATAGGCTAATAATACTAATACTATTAATAATAATGATAAACAAATATTATGGGAAAAAGATGATCAGTTAATGGACTTACAAGACTGTACGATGGATAAAAATGTTTTCTTGTAGGCCTATTTTATTTTATGCACTTTATGCAACATTTATTCATACACATAATACAGTCCGGTAGCCAAGGCCTATGGTTAATATAATAACTTAATAATGTTATCATTTCTATAATAAATAATATAATAATTTCTTAATTCAAAATAAAATATGAATGAATCTATCTCTGATAATGCCTGGTTGCTATGGTCACGCAGGTTTGTTTACACATTAAACTCGTGGCCACGAGAAAAATATGTCGTTCCCTCAACATAAGAAGTCGTGGCCACGAGAAATGGATGTCGTTCCTTCAACATAGTATCTCAAAATGAGACAAAATGATCTCGTGGCCACAACATAATATGACGTTCCCTCAAATTAATATCTCGTGGCCACGACAAAACTAAGTGAAACGAACATCAGTACAAATCTTTTTTTTTTTAAGTGTTGTAAACTTTTAAGTGTTGCTATGTCTGCTCCCTATACATTTACGAGAACATACTGATGAGTTGTAGTCCCTTCAAATTATTCATTAAACTTTCTTAAATTTACCTTCATAAAACCTGCAGAAACTGAAAAAACTGCTTTTTCATCACAAGGGCTGTCACTGGCAGTGAGCCGTAAGCAAGAGGGATGCACACAGATGCTTTGCACTTCCACCTCTCTCTAACTACTGCTACTGCACGATTCGCATCACAACACCCTGTGGGCCACACACACACCTAACTATTTACATATTAACCAGCTAACATAGACAAGCTTAAACAATGTCAATCTGAGATCAAGAACTGATTTGTAGTCTTAACCTGTTAAATTGTTTTACAGGTAATCATACTCATGAAGAGCAGGCACACAGTTTTCTGGTGCTGACACAGCTGCAGCCAGATTGTCCCGCACATCCTCTCCTGTGCTGCCTTCTGTGTTTCGGCAGGATCCTTCATAATCTCTTCAACTTCAACTTTGTTTATTTATATAGCACATTTAAATGCAACTTTGTTGCCCTAAATTCAGGATAAAAATAAAACACACACACATAACTTACACACAAGTAAACAAACATTTATAAAAGGTTCTCAAATCAAGAGAACCTGAGAACAAATCAAACTATCCCTACTTCAAAGGCCAGACAAAAAAAAGTGTCTTCAACTGGGACCTTAAAACGTGACTTCCTGTTTGTTGCTGCTGCATGTTTTGAGTTTGAGCTCCGTCAAGTTAATTCTTTATTGTCTATTTTTTTTATCTTAAAATCAATTTTATACACCATAATGTTCGTTTCTATTAAGTATGAATATATCCCCTATCGTATTCTACAACAAAAACAATCAGAGCGCCTTGTTATCATTAACCTGTTAAATTGTTTTACAGGTAATCATACTCATGAAGAGCAGGCACACAGTTTTCTGGTGCTGACACAGCTGCAGCCAGATTGTCCCGCACATCCTCTCCTGTGCTGCCTTCTGTGTTTCGGCAGGATCCTTCATAATCTCTTCAACTTCAACTTTGTTTATTTATATAGCACATTTAAATGCAACTTTGTTGCCCTAAATTCAGGATAAAAATAAAACACACACACATAACTTACACACAAGTAAACAAACATTTATAAAAGGTTCTCAAATCAAGAGAACCTGAGAACAAATCAAACTATCCCTACTTCAAAGGCCAGACAAAAAAAAGTGTCTTCAACTGGGACCTTAAAACGTGACTTCCTGTTTGTTGCTGCTGCATGTTTTGAGTTTGAGCTCCGTCAAGTTAATTCTTTATTGTCTATTTTTTTTATCTTAAAATCAATTTTATACACCATAATGTTCGTTTCTATTAAGTATGAATATATCCCCTATCGTATTCTACAACAAAAACAATCAGAGTGCCTTGTTATCAGTAGTTTTAATTTGATTTCCTGAGTCCACTATTAGCTTATAGCCCGTTCGCGTCACCAGCGTGGTTGCCGCTAATCTCGCTTACAGTGCTAATACTCTATTCACACACATTACCATTGTTTTACTCACTGTTAATTGCATTAATGGCGGATGTGTGTCTACCTTTGAGTGCAGGTGAGGACACGTTCTGGAGGCCGTGGAGAAGCAGATCCGCGACCTGGTGGAGAGGCAGACCCAGCTGAGAGAGCAGACCACCGGGACAAGACCACAGGAACCAGATGAGTCCGCTGCACAATGTGACTTTGCTGCAGCCTGAAATTGAACTGCTGGTTTTGTCTGGCCAGAGGAGAACTGGCCCCCCGACTGAGCAAGGTTTTTTCTCCATTCTGGATGGAGAAAAGGAGATGGAGTTTTGGTTCCTTGCCGCTGTCACCTCTGGCTTGCTTAGTTGGGGACACTTCATTTCCAGCGATATCGTTGACTTGATTGCAAAGATACTATTTAAACTGAGCTGGATGTTGACATCATTAATGCTGTTCAGTTGCTTTGACACAATCTGTATTGTTAAAAGCGCTATATAAATAAAGGTGACTTGACTTGACTTGACTGAGAGAGCGGAGAGCCATGCTGGAAACATCCCGGGCTGACGCTCACAAATCCGGGGTAAGTATACAGCGTCAAATGTGATGTCAAAATGAGACTTTATTGTCACCGCAACAAAGCCGAGATGACGGCCACCGCATCTGAAGTCTTTGTCTGTCAGCTCATCTGTCTTATACCTTTTTCTCTCACCAAAGTTGGTAGTTCCGGTTTTTGTTATTGGTTATGTCTATCTAGTTTGCCACAATGTCTAAATCTTGAGCACCGACTGTCCCAGGTCAAGGACATTATGGGTATTAAAACACACTTGTGCTTTTGTGCTCAAATATGCTTTTATCAGTGGATTGCTCAAATATGCTTTTATCGGTGGATTTTGCTAGATCAGCCATTTTAACTGTCAGCCATTGTTCTTAATGGTGGAATGTGGTTAGATCACCCATTTTAAATGTTACAATTTGGCTACTTGTTCCTGCCTACTGCTGGAAACTCTGGAATGACCCAGATAATATTAGGTTATTCAAGTTCACTGGTTTTACTGCCTAATGAAAAAGGCTCTCATACATTAATTCCCCATTAAGACATCCAGGGTTGGAATAATTCAGCATATTGATTTGCATATTGATTACTTTCATTATTTCACATAATATTTCATAGAATTTACACAATATATTCCCCCCTCTGAGACTTTACCAAGTCTCACCACTAAGCCCCTTGCCTAGAGTACAACACCATAAATCCACCCATCCTTCTATGAACCAATAATGGTCCTCCATCACTTTTTACCAAATGGTTTCCTTATGTTGCTGCACTCCAGAGGAAGTCAGATCCAAACTTCTCTCTTCACTATTGACCAGAGAAGAGTAAAAGAATCCACTTCCCTACCTATACATTCTTAGGGGTCAATAAATCAATAATATGTGTCAATGCATGTGCGCATGAGATGTCTTAGCCTTGCCCATGGTTGTCATGGTTATGTAGTGTATATGAATGATTAGTCAAATGATTAAAACAAAGTGATGCAATAAATGATGCACTGGTCTGTCCCACGATGCCAGAGGAACTCCAAGCATTTCTGGTAGCTTGGAGCGCTGTCTGGTGCTGCTGTCCTTCGTTGCCAGAGGAGCTCTCAGGCAAGCTCCCTTGCCCTCCAGCGCTATCTGGTGTTGGAGTAGATGGTGGGTTTTTAAACCTCCAGTTGAATCTACTCGTGTTGCTAAGCACTGAGGTGCTCGTCGATCCTTTCTTCTTTTCATACTTTTGACTTTCCCAGTGTTTAAGAACAAACAAACGATATACTGATGAATGAAGGTTAAATGATGAAAATAAGTAATCTTTCTTTATCGTCCCCTTTTTCTGGTTGCATTGCCTCGTAACACGGACAATGACCTGCTTAAGACCTTCAACGTCCCCTTTCTTTCCAAAAATATCACTTTTTACATTTGATTTATTTAGGAGAATAAATGCTCTTTAAAATAAACGATTTCAGAGTAAATGATTCAAAATAAATGATTAAAAAATTAATGACTTTAGGTATTAAAGACTTCAGGAAGGAGCATATTCCAAAATAAAATACATAACAACCTCTAACTTCCTGCCTACTCTATCCAAGTATTCTAATACTACTACATAATATGAAAAAGAAAATACAATGAAGATACTAACTCCCTTTTTATAACAAATGCAATAAAGGAAAAATAAAAATAGAAAATAAAAGGCACTCCTTCCCTACTATTCTGTTGTTATTTCAGGAAGGTTTTACTCGTCCAGCTCATCCAGTCCAGGCCCCACTGTATACATGTTGGTACACCCAATGTCAACAACTCCAGTTGGCTTCACTGACACGTTGATCATCTGTTTGGCTGCAGCACTGGCCAGCATTGATCTGATGAAAGGCACAATACAACAGAACAGCAAAAGAAACCCAACAACAACAATGCCAATTATGATGCCCACTTTGGTTAACCATTGTCCCCAAGACCCAAAAAATGAATTAAACCAGTCCCAATTATGCATGTCTGCTCCAGCGTTCTCAGTCACTTCATCTCTCAGGTTTTTCAGTTTCTCCATAGCTTTGGTGAATGATCCAGCTGGGGCTGTACTATTTGAAATATAAGTACAACAGTCAGTTCCAAACATTACACATACGCCTTTTTCGACCAACAACCAGTTCAATGTTTGTCTATGCATCATCAGTATAGTTAATAAATATCTGCTAATTACAATAAATATAGTTTATCCGCTCTATATTCTTGATAGAGGTTATCTATATGAATATTGACTCAAATCCATATTTTATCTCATTCTTGGCCTTAAATTGCTCTAGTATTCCCTTGATTGGCCATTTGAATGTATACACTTGGGTCTGCCTTATATGCTCTTTATAGTTAATAAATCTCTGCTAATTACAATAAATATAGTTTATCCGCTTTATATTCTTGATGGAGGTTATCTATATTTTAGCTCATTCTTAGCCTTAAATTGCTCTAGTATTCTCTTGATTGGCCATTTGAATGTACACACTTGGGTCTGCCTTATTTGCTCTTTTCACTCTCTGTCTTTTTGGCAGGGACTCTACAGATTTGTTTAGGTCCCCTTCTATATTGTCACTCCTTATAGTATTCTTACTCAGTCTTCTATTGCTTCTGATTGATTTTATCATGTCTACATAATCCATTACTAGATGTTTGAATGGCCCTTCTGGGACTGGTATGTGGCCTATAGGTGCAGATGTTCCTTTCCTAACATTGTTTTGGGTGCAAACTTTGCATTCAGATAAATACTCATCCACCATTGCCTGTAAACAAGGTGACCAAAATCCTTGTCACTTTATTTATTTATTTTTTATTGACTCCCCCCCCTCAGAGATAAAGATTTCAAGCAATGGAGTAGGAGCAATCATATGGCTCTCATGAAATTGTCAAAGCCCATTTTGCATTACGTGTTGTTTCCCTTTGTTGCCATAGACTAATTTCATATGGTGTAGCTTGATGTTGCATCCATGCAATCATTAATTGTGGTTGAGGTTGAATCAGAACAGAGGGAGCCATTATTTTTGTTTCACAGCCTGAGGCATTTCTAGAATATTTATTTACTGCATTATTGCCTTGTATCATTGCCCTCTTAGTTAGCTGGATTGATTTGTATATGTTTTAAACATGCAAATAGAACGGTTTGTCATACGTGGGCATGGTCAAGACAGGAGCAGTCTGTAATTCTTTTTTTTTTTTATTGAAATGCTATTAGTGCTTCAGTATTACATACCAGTGGTGCCCTAAGATTCTGATGGCCCACTTGCTTCATTAGTGCTCTTAGTGGAGCTGTTTTGATTGCATAATCATCATTCCAATCTGCACTAAAACTTGTCATCCCCAAAAAATGAATAATTTGTCCCACTGTTTGTGATTGGTGCGCTTTACTGATACCCCCTAAGTGACTGGGTGATATAGCTTTCATCCCATGTGAAATTGTGCGTCCTAAGCATTCAACTTGTGGTAAGCAATATTGCAATTTTTCTTTAGAGGCCCTATGTCCCCCCCAGCCAATTTAGTTAGCACCTTAATCGAGTCTTGATGACATTATTCCAAAGTTGTTGAAGAAATCAATAAATCATTAATGTACTGTCCAGTCTTCTTTTAGAACTTGATTAAACACCGTGCAGCATTCTCATGTATGTGAGCTTTTTACCTTGGTAGGTGAATGCAAACAAAAGTCTACTTTCTTCTGCTAAGGGAATGCTGAAAAAGGCAGAGCAAAGATCACAGTATAATAATTAGCAACAGACGGAACATTGGTTAGTAATGTATGCGGGTTTGGAACATCGGCTGGCCAATCCTCCACAACCTCATTCACTGCTCTCAGATCATGCACCAAACGCCATTTCGATTTATCTGCTTTGGTTACTGGCAATATTGGGGTGTTACCATAACTAGTAGTTTCAACAAGCACTCCTGCTTTCATTAATCCTTCAATTGTCTTTTTGATTCCCTCTTCTGCTTCTGGTTTCAAAGGGTATTGCAATTTTCTGGGTACTTTAGCTCCTGGTTTAAGTACTACTCTAATTGGATTAGCTGATTTTACTAACCCCACATCTGTATCATGTTGAGACCATAATTCTAATGGTACTTGTCTCTCCATGTCTTTTAACAATTCAATTTGCTTTGGTTGATGTTCTTTAACTTTTGGCTCAACTCTTGTGTTTATGACCATTCTGGGGACACCTATCATTGGAGTAGCACACAAAATCTTAAGATATTCTTTGTCTGCTGATTGGAAAATTAGAGGATTTTCTGTGGCTTCCCACTTGCTTTTTTCTGCTTGTTTCATCATGGGGCCTAAGTCTTTAGAGACACAGTTCTCACTTACATATTGGCTTCCCACTTGCTTTTTTTCTGCTTGTTTCATTATGGGTCCTAAGTCTTTAGAGACACAGTCTTTATTTACATATAATGGGACAGGACAGGCACAAAGATAATCTTTCTAATTTCTCTGCTCTCTTTCCTCTCCCTCTCTCATGTCTATCTCTCATATGTCTATTTTCACTTTTAGCAGCGTTCACTCACACACATACGCTCCACTCATGCACACACATTCACTCTCTTTCGTACATACACCCATAAACACACGCACACAACATTTTCTTTTTGTTCTCTGTCACACACATGCACACTTTCTCTTTGTTCTCTGTCACACACACGCACAAAGTTAGACCAACATACAGGTTCTCACTCTCACATGTGTGCACTCACACATGCATTCAGGCACACATATGCATGCTCTCTCTCACTCACACACACACAGAGGTTCCTCGCTTGCACACACATTCAAGGCCTTCACTCCCACACTTTTTGCTACTCTTTTCACTACATGCACACAGATCGAAGAGAAAAACACCAAGCAGCTTTTGGTCTCCTTCTCTTTCTTTTAGGAATGAAAAATCAATCAGTTCTTTATCTTTTTCTTTACCAATAATTCAGTTTCACAATTTGGATCACAATGTCGGCAACTTAGTGTCCAAACAGCCGACAGAGCCAATTTCTTGGAATATTTTTAGTTTTTTCAACTCTTACAATTTTCTCAATAAACTCTTTATTGTTCATTTAGTGTATTTATCTTTTACTGTATTGCTTTTTCATTCCAGTTAAATCAAAGAACGTTTACATAAAACATATATGCTACACACATCCAGCTTCATTCGCAGCGCAAAGCAGCCAGCACAGTTAATCATTCAACCAAAACATTCAATGCTTCAAGGTTTCCAGCACTTTGACGCACATACACAGATATTTCTCACAACATACAATGGACAAACAAAGACTAACAGTTTAACTCTTCTCAGTCTGCAGACACCTGATCACACAGCCCTTCCCTCATAAGTACCCCTCAAGGCCACGCTCTACCATCTCTGAGCGGCTCCCCGATTCCTGGGCGTACCCACTTTAGGAAGTCTCCGAACAGGTTTTGTGCCCCTTCTCGGCTGGCACTGTGTACACAAAAACTTAATACCCGATCAAGCAACCCCTCCCTCATAAGTACCCCACAGGGCCACGCTCTACTTTCTCTGAGCGGCTCCCTGATTCCTGGGCTTACTTATTTTGGGAAGTCTTCCCTCATAAGTACCCCTCAAGGCCACGCTCCACCGTCTGAGCGGCTCCTTGATTCCTGGGCTTACTTACTTTGGGAAGTCCTGACCCAGTATTTGTGCCCCTTCTCGGCTGGCACAGTGCACTTCTTGCACTCACAAAAGCTTTTTACTACTCTAAAGCATGCACATCTTTTGACATCTGGAACCCTTTAATCTCTCTCTATTTCTGCATTTACTTTACTTAATTTTAGTTAAATTCAATACCTTAGATTCATTTATTGGTGAAGCCCTGTCTCAGATTACCATCACAGGCGTGACCCCAGTCAACCACACAAACAGTCCTATTTCCAATTTAAGCAAAAAATTGCCTACCTCTTTTTCAGGCGTGCCTTTTTGTGATCTGTTTGTGCGGCCGTCCGGGTACCCCACCCACGATGGCCCTCGCGGACGTTGGACTCCAAGCCAATCCTGTTCGTGACGCCAATCTGTTGTGTATTTTTCTTTGGTGTAGTCAATGAAGTTCGAGAAGCAGAGTTCCAGATGTCAAAATGAGACTTTATTGTCACCGCAACAAAGCCGAGATGACGGCCACCGCATCTGAAGTCTTTGTCTGTCAGCTCATCTGTCTTATACCTTTTTCTCTCACCAAAGTTGGTAGTTCCGGTTTTTGTTATTGGTTATGTCTATCTAGTTTGCCACAATGTCTAAATCTTGAGCACCGACTGTCCCAGGTCAAGGACATTATGGGTATTAAAACACACTTGTGCTCTTGTGCTCAAATATGCTTTTATCGGTGGATTTTGCTAGATCAGCCATTTTAACTGTCAGCCATTGTTCTTAATGGTGGAATGTGGTTAGATCACCCATTTTAAATGTTACAATTTGGCTACTTGTTCCTGCCTACTGCTGGAAATTCTGGAATGACCCAGATAATATTAGGTTATTCAAGTTCACTGGTTTTACTGCCTAATGAGAAAAAAAGCTGCCAGGGCCGAGCATATCCACAAACTCATAGAAAATAACCAAAACAATCCAAGGTTTTTATTTAGCACAGTGGCTAGATTAACAAATGACCAGACACCACCCGATGTAAATTTTCCCTCACGGTTTAATAGTAATGACTTTATGAATTTCTTCACTGATAAATAGATAACATCCGAAATACAATAACAAATGTAGATTCTACAGCATCTAATACTTATACAGAAAAACTGGAGTGCTTTACAAATATAATAATAATAATAAACTTTATTTTATATAGCACCTTTAAATGTAGCATCTCAAAGCGCTGTACATATAAAAATATGAAGTCAAAAGATACACACAACAGTACAGGCAGTAAAGAACTAACCAAACAATACAAAGCCAATATAATAAAAAACAAATTAATCACATAAATCACAAAAGCTACCCTAAAAAAGTAAGTTTTAAGGGACGATTTAAAATTTTGTACCAACTGTAATTTACTTAGGGTAGCTTTAGAAACTCCAGCCAGCAAAGCATTAAAGTAATCAATACGCGAAAAAACTAAAGTGTTGATTAACTTTTCAGCCACAGAAAAAGTCAACATGGGACGTAATTTGGCAATGTTTCTGAGATGAAAAAAAGATGCTTTGACTGTATTACGAACATGCGGATCAAATGTTAAGTTGGCATCAAATATCACCCCCAGATTTTTTAGTTTAGTTTGAAACTGTAAAGCAGAGCCATCCACACTTAAGGTTACACAGCTAAGACCATGTGATGCCCACACTCCCATGAGTCTCTTCAAAATGTTGTTCAAGTTTCCTGCCACTGTTTTGGATATTTTGGACATTGCACCCATCGACTCATGGTTTGCTTGGTCGCTGGAACCCCTTTCTTAGGTGTACCGAAGCAAATGAATAACTGATCTGCCTTACGCCACTGGGCAGCTCTGTGGACGTAAGCAGACTGAGCAGATTGAGTCTTTCCTGGCCTGCTTCCTGGAAGGGTGGAGGACAGAAGGCTTGCAGTACTATGGGCGAAGAGGTGGGCACCTTAGGGACACGAGAACCCACGTGCGTCAGACCAGAGTTCTCGCGAGCAAGACTGTAATTATTTGAAAAAAATATATATCGCCCGCAAATGGTCTGTGAGCTGATTTCCAGCTATAAGGAGAAAAAGAAAAACAGATTATGCAGGAGGGAGATGCAGGGAACAGGGATTGGGTGTTCTGCAAAGGGATTCTGCATTCCTAATCTCAGAGGGCAGGGAATTCCACAATTTAGGAGCCAAAGAAGAGAAAGCCCGATCACCCATGGTTTTTAGCTGAGTTGTTTGAACAGTTAAAAGGCCAGCTTCAGAAGAGCGTAGAGCAGAGGGGTGTAGGGGGTTAAAAGTTTGCACAGATATTGAGGAGCCAAATTATTCAAGGCCTTATAAGTGAGCATGAGAATTTTAAAATCAATATTTAAGTTAAGACCAAGAGTTCTTAAAAGTTGGCCAAATGGAAAAATGTAAATACTAAAAAGTAAAGGGCCCAAAACTGATCTCTGGGGAACACCAGAGTGCGCCACACCGACTTCAGACCTGCAACCACCCATCACAACAAACTGCTTGCGATCAGCTAGGTAGGACTTAAACCACTTTAATGTAGAATCCGAAACTCCAAAGATATTCTCTAAACGGGTGATTAAAATAGAGTGATCTATAGTGTCAAAAGCGGCATTAAGATCAAGAAGAATCAGTATAGATAGACGACCAGAATCTGAAGCCATTAACAAGTCATTAGTGACCTTAACTAATGCCGTTTCATTGCTGTGGAGTTTACGGAATCCAGATTGAAGTGGCTCAAAAAGATCATTAGAGGAAAGATGAGAAAGCAATTGAGAAGCCACTGTTTGTTCTAAAATTTTGCAGAGGAATGGAAGATTAGAGATGGGACGAAAATTATTCAGATTATCAAAGTCTATGTTGTTAGTTTTTGGTACAGGGGTGACAGCAGCAATTTTAAGTGCTGCTGGCACAACACCAGTGCACAGAGAGTCATTGATAACTCTGAAAACAACAGGACAAAGGGAATCAAGACATGATTTGAACAGACAAGATGGTATCGGATCAACTCTGGAAGTCGAAGCTTTCATTTTCAAAACCATATTACAGAGAGACTGGGAGTCATGAATAGCAAAGTTGGAGAGAGAAATACCAGAAAATGCAGAAATATTTAAGGAAGAGGCAGCAGAAGTATTAGTAATAATGTGGTTACGTATATTATCAATTTTGGTGCTAAAAAACTCCAAAAACATATTACAAAGGTGAGTTGAAGCAGGAACATTAGAGAGGCTGTGATTTTTAAGCAACTTGTTGATCGAGTAAAACAGTTATTTAGGGTTTCTCTGATTGCTGACAATTATCTGAGAAAAATAAACAGATCTAGTTGACACAATTTCAGCCTTATATTCAAGTAAGCTGTCTTTCCAGGCCTGGTGATGAACAGTTAAACCTGATGTGCGCCATCTACGCTCCATTTTACGACACATAGCCTTCATAGCATGCAGATCATCATTGTACCAAGGAGCGGAGCGTACAAAAGAAACAGATCGTGATTTCAAGGGAGCCAGCGTGTCCAGGCCAGACAAGAGAACAGAATTCAGCACAGAGACTTTATCATCCAGATCATCAGACAGAGAAACACAACATAAAGAAGAGTCAATAAAATCTGAAAAATCAGTGGGCTCAATAGATCTCCACTTGCGATAATTAATGATGCGAGAAGTGGAAGTGTTCATGTCAGGTAATTCCATGTTAAAAAAGACAGCCCGATGATCAGACCTAGATCTGATCAGACCTAAATCAGAGGTTGACATCTGAGACACAAATTAACCATTGGAAATCACAAGGTCTAAAGTGTGGCCTTTGTCATGTGTAGGACAGTCCACAAGTTGGTTTAACTCAAAGCACTCCAATATGGACAAAAAGTATTTTGTTATTGTGGAGTCTTTTATATCCATGTGGATGTTGAAATCCCCCAAGAGAAGGATTCTCTCAAATCTGAGGCAGAGAAAAGACAATGTATCTGAAAATTCAGATAAAAAGCCTATATTTGTCTTAGGAGGCCTGTAGACTGTTGCCACTGCAGTAGAGAGGGGCGCAGAAACACTCAAAACAAGACATTCAAATGAGTCAGATTTGGGAACAGCCACGGAACACAATGTGTACATTGTGCAACACAATGATACCCCCACCTCTGCCATAGGAATGCGGGAGATCAAATAATCCATAGCCAGCAGGAGTCAATTAATTAAAAAGAAGACCGTCAGATTCTTTGTGCCATGTTTCAATTCACGAGTTCACACTTACATATAATGAACAGAGTAAAGGTTATGCGTATTTGGCGTCCTGTCCGGGGAGAGGACTCCGAGCTCGGTAATTACTCTCGAGCCCAGGGTACTCCTCCTGTCCGGGGAGAGGGGTCCGAGCTCGGGTCTAAGCGGGTCTAAGCCCGGACCCAGAGCGTTCCCCCAAAGATGCAATTAGTACGGGACAGCAGCCAGAGAGGAGCGTTGATAACCCCCCAAAATTTGCAAAGTTTAAAATTGGTGGGGTGCTGGACATTAATTGTAGTAGCGGCACTGCTGCGGCTTTTAGGAGAGAGAACTGGAGGCTTCTGCTGAAGCGGGCGCTGCTGCGGCATCTGAAAAGAAACCTCCTGCAGGAGTGGGAACTGCTACGGCATCTGAAAAGAGAAA